TAACTGTGGGTTAACAGATAAAGAAAATAAATACATGAATGTTAACGAATAAATAGATTGAAAATTGAATAAGTATTGTTACAGTAAAGTTAAAATAACAATACTTAAATATACTGTGACAATACTGTTACAATATACTGTAGCAATATACTTAAATATACTGTAACAATACTTATTCAATTTTCAATATATTTATTCGTTAACATTCATGTATTTATTTTCTTTATCTGTTAAACCACAGATATTCTCCTTTATATTTATTTTTATTCCTACTTATTTTCCATTTATTTGTATCTTCTACATATATAATTCTTAATATTTAACTACATTGTCACCCACTATATCTCTGATACCATCTTTATTTTATTTCTGTATTTTTTTTTATTTTATTTTTTATTTATTTAATGGAATTTACAACTGTATACAGATACAACAAGTAAATATGCGCATATATAAATAATGGCATGTACAGGCTTGAAGAGTTACTACCCAGTGGTAGCACTCTCTAAAAAATTTTAAGTAAGAAGATCACGAGGCCATCTCCTTTTCAGACGCCTAGGAGGATTATCAGGGATCGAGGAAGAAGCAAGAGTGGAAACAAGCGGATGGGACTGAAGTTTATCATGAAAGGATAGATATCTGGCTCGAGCTAAATCAGCGACATATGGTACATTAAGGTCTTTATGAATGGTTTTATTTGTGACAAAGTATGGAGCATTAAAGATTTTGGATTGTAAGGATTGGATACGATAGGAATTCGATGGTTTGGTGGAGCCCCAAAGCTCAACTCCGTATGTCCATATAGGTCTTATTATAGTTATGTAGATAAGTCTTTTGTAATTAATATAAAATTTGGAGCGTTTGTCTAGTAAGTGTTGGAGCAGTCGGAAATTTCTGTATCTGAAAAACTTCTTCTTATTTTATATATACCTATATTTATTTTTTATTTTCAACATGTTTTGTATCTTTTGGAGCCCTGAAGACGACCTGCAAAGTGGGTCGAAACGTCGGCAAAAATTAAAATAATTAATATATTTTAATGTTTTATTTATTTGACCGCACCCTTCAATAACTCCTTCTCATATTATGTCAACGATCAACCATCTCTACATCATTATATTTCATATTATTATGCTCGTCTTGTTTATGTTTTCACTTCTATCGTGTGGTCTAGAGCACACATCTTAGTTGTTTTTTTATGACTAACGTATGGGTTTCGTGTTCAAAGTTCGCGTTTTTGAATAGCATGATTAAATTGAAATTTATTTGTTTACAGTTATAACGTTTTCAAATTTAATTTACGGTATATAATTCGGTAGTGGAAATAATGTATTAATAATTTACAAATCTCCTTAGGAAGACAAAAAATTGAGACGAATAAAGTACTTTAATGTGTGTTTCTTCGTCGTTTGTCCGTAGTTCGAAATATTTTTAGTATCTTAAACCATTGAATAGTTTTTGGAACAAAATATATAATATATATATATTTCCTCCTAATTTCCTTCCTCATCTTCCCCCACTTTGACTACAGCTGTTTGGTGTATGATGGCCTCTCGGTGGAGCTACGTGTTAGACTGAAAAGATTAATGAATAGCTGCGTAAGATTTGTTATTGGTGCCCCGAGGTACTCCTATGTCTCTCACCACTACACTGAGTTAAGGTGGCTCTTCCCCTCCTTTAGAAGACAATATTTCCTGGGTACGTTCCTCTATCAAATCATTAACAACCATCGTCCTTCTTACGCCTACAACCTTCTCCAATTCAAGTCCTCAGTCCATTCCCTTTCAACAAGATCTCGACCTTCTGACCTCTACATCCCTTCGCACAGATCTGCCTCATTTCGGAATTCCTTTATAGCTCGCGCTGTCAATTTCTGGAATTCTCTACCAATCAAAATTCGGCATTCCCCTCTTTATCCGCATTCAAATCTCTCCTATTCCAATTCCTATCCCAAAAACAGTCAGATACTTGCTAAACTTTCGATATTATACATTTCTAGTCATCATCAAACGATAGTGCTATTCTATACTGTGAACTTCACTAGGCATGTTACAATATTTTTCGGCTCTTAATGCCACTGACCACATCTACTGTTTGTTTTTTTATTTTTATTATTATTTTTTATTGGTATATAATTAAATCTGTACCTCTAGCATTTGACAATGATGAGTCTACATATTAATCATTATTTAAAGACACTAATATTTTATATTGTCAGCTTTGTTTTTTCTTTGTTAGCAGAAACACACCTCATTTTAAAGAAGAACTCAATGTATTTTTTATTGTTTTATTTTTTAAAAGAGTATAATTATAATTTTTCCTACTGTACATAGTCTTAAGTGTTTTATCATAGTTTTAAGTGTTGTATATAGATTTTTTTTTTGTATATAGCTTGTTTAACTAATATTTTTTTTACTTTCTCTTTTTTATTATTGTTTTATTTTGGCCAGATGTAGTATTTTAATTATGTTCTATTTTGTTATTCTAAAGGGACTTTGTCCCAGAATAAAGTTATTTTCTATTTCTATTTCTATTTCTATATATTTACTTTTTTCGTAGCCCCTTTTTATATTTCTTAGCATTTAACCTCTGAATTTTTTTTGTCGTCTTAATAATCCTTTTAGTACTAAGAAGCATTTTAAGATGTATTTTTCTTCTTTTTACAGTTTCTGCGTATTTTTTCTAATTCTGAAATATAATCAATGACGGTGCTCACCTCAGGCTTATTCTCTAGTATAAGCTTACAACTAAATTAAAAAACTTATCCTACGTAAGTTGTTGCCAACGTTTTGGAATGTTGGCTAGCAATAAGCTGTTGAAAAGAAGGTTTGACAATTGTTGAGACTTTTCGAAAAATGATTTTTTACGGTTAGTGAGAAATTCTTTTAATAATAATAATAATAATAAAAGGCTTAGCGAATCCGAAGGTTCGATTCCGACACCACCAATCGCTTATTACACACCTCCCTCCACCGTTCGCCATCCAAACCAGTCCCTTCAGATCGGCTTTAATGCAATCTTCCCACCTTCGCTTCGGTCTACCGGACGCTTACCATTCGGCACAGCAAATATTAACCTTTTAGGAATTCTCTCGTTACTAAGCCCAACAACTTTACAAGCCCATTTGATTCGCCTCGATGAAATTACCGCAATTATATTACTCGGATAGAGTCCACGCAATTCGGCGTTGTGTAACCGTCTGAACTCTCCGGTTAACTCATCCATCTTTGGTCCGAATATTCTGCGAAATACTTTATTTTCAAAAACCTTAAGACGCTGCTCATCCCTTAACGTAAGCGGCCAAGTTTCGTATCCATAAAGAACTGTAGGCAAGATAATTGTTTTATAGAGAAATTCTTTTACCGCAGATAAATTTAGCGCTGCTTGTATATCTAATGTTTTCGTTGTCCCCATCGTGGTTCCTCTTACAATTTTCCTCATTATTCCATTTTATAATATTGTAACCTTTTCCCTGTTGCTTGATGTTGACACGATCGAACAGATGTGCACCATACAACAGAGTCGGCCATATTATGCTTATATAGATGAGAGGCTTTAAGCGTAAAGGTAGGTTATTTGTCCTAAGTAAATTTTGGAGTCTGTACTTCTTAGATCTCACTCTTTTAATTTTTTTGTCAAAACGTCTAGTAAATTTTAAATGTCTGTTGAAGTGAATACCGAGACGTGTTAAGTCAGTCGATAATTTAATACTGTTGTTGTTAATTTTAAATTCATTTGGCATTTTCTTTTTTCCTTTTTGATATTTTTTTTTATTTCTTAATGAAATTTACAACTGTATTACATAAATACATCAAGTAAATTTTTACATAATAGACATAATGACATGAATACACTTGCTGAGTAACTACCCAATGGTAGCACTCTAATGATATGACTACATTAGGAGATCACGGGGCAATCTTCTTTTCAGACGCCTCGGAGGGTTATCAGAGATCTAATAGGAAGCAAGGTTAGAAACGAGAGGGTTGGGATGATTCTGAAGTTTATTATGGAAGGATAGGTATCGGGATTGGGCCAGATCTGAAACATAAGGAACATTAAGATCTTTATGGATAATTTTATTAATGACAAAGTAAGGAGCATTGAGGATTTTACGAAGGATTTTGGATTGTAAGGATTGGATACGAGAGGAATTCGATGGTTTAGTGGAGCCGCATAGCTCAACTACCTAAGTCCAAATAGGCCTTATTATAGTCAAGTATATGAGTCTTTTGTAATTAAAAGGAAGTTTAGAGCGTTTATCTAATAAGTGCTGAAGTAATCGGAAACGTCGAGCGGTTTCTTGTAGTTTCAGTCTAGTATGAGGATTCCAAGTTAGTCGCTTGTCCAGGTGGAGTCCTAGGTATCGGATTTGCTCAACAGGGATAAGTGGAGTATTGTTAAAGGATACTGAAGGACAGGAAGTCATAGGTTTACGACGAAGGGTAAAGGTAATTTGGTGGGATTTATTGGAGTTTATTTTAATTCTCCAGTTTTGACACCTTTCTTCTAGATTTATGATGTTTGATTGAAGCATTTGGGATGCAATTGATGGATCATTATTTACTGATAGGATACATGTGTCATCGGCATATGTGGTGATGGCAGTTTTGGGATAGGTAGGGATGTCAGCCTTTTTGATATGAAAATATAATTCCTTTCGTCTTTTCAGGATTAACATCTATGTTTAGCATTTTTAGCTGTTCTTTAATTTTGTTGTTAATTTTGAAGTCATTCGTTGAATTCGAAACAATATATATTTTTTTCATAACCCCAGTTTTATATATGATTTTGTTTCTTACATATGTAATTCTCTCTTTAGTTATGTTCTAAAATATTTCAAATTCAAAAATATGCGACACAATATAAAAATCGAAGTGTACATAATGTGATAAAAGTACATAATGTTTCAATCATGACAAAATAAAAAATCGAGATCGTACAAAGGCACATCGAGTTAATAATTTTTTATTCTAGATTAGTTCATTTTTATTTTTAAGGGAATCCTGTAAGTTTCGGTTTTTTTTTTCAGTTGATTTCTCGCCGAATGATAAGCTAATGAAATAAAAGAGATGTATTTTTCGATTTTTTAAACCAAGATGCAATTTATAATTAAATATTAATGGTTTACATGTATAATAAAAATTAAAAATATAAATTAATGAACATCCAACAGTTGACAAATATATAACGACCCTCTGCTAACGCAGTTTATACTAATATAAACAGAAATCACAACAGATTATTAAGAGACATGTCCACAGCTGACATACCCAGAACATGAGGAGGGGACTGAAAAGGCGTTGGATGAGAGATCTCCACATGTAAACAACCTAAGTAATTGAAACAAGTCAGGAAAGAGGTGCTGCTGTGTACTTTCCTTCCCCATGCCTGACATGTTATTTATATCTTCAATTACCTTTGCTTACTAACAAAAATTTGACAAGCGAAAATAAATTTTTTTATTTGATTGCAAAAAATAATTAATATCCATGTAACGTTCGACGCAAATAATGAAAATAAAATTATTTTTCTTTTAAAGCCATATGCATATTCCGGAGTTTAATGTTGATTAAAACAAGTACAATGGAATTCGAACGTTATGAAAATCCTTCTGGTAAAAATATTACAATTTTAAAACATTTCTGGAACGATTGGAGATTTTCGATGTTATTAAAAATATTTTTAAATTTTTTTAGTCATCAGTTTTGAAACTTCTTGATTAGAAAATGTTACAGGTATGAAATCAAACTTCCTTCAAAGTTACTTCATTAATTCGTGATATAATTTAGTCTTTTAAATTTCTATATAATTGAAATGTTAAAAAACATATTTTTTTAGATGTTAGAGATTTCTAAAGCTGCAATATCAACTTAATATTGAATGAATACTTTTTTAAAACCATTTTAATTATTACGTTATTTAAATGATGTAACTTTTAGGTTAATGGATAAATGAAACCTGTACCTCTAAAACGCATGGAGATATTTTTTTGGGATTTGTTAATAATGATTAAACCATTTAGGAAATGAACGACTCAGTTTATCTCTTAATTCATAAAACTATGTTATAGTGATAACTGTACAATCCTGAAATATTGTAGCGAGAATGTAGACAAAACCAAGTTGTAATGAGTGATAGAATATTTGCTGTAAAATATTTCCCGCACGACATTCACCGGGCCTATATCAACAAATGCAAATGAGCTGAATGAACTTTAAGTATGGTTTGTCATTTATTTGTTCAAGTGCGAATGTTGATGTTGAAGAGAAGTCTAACGGGAGTAGGCATTGTCAACATATATCGCATGTTGATTATATAGTTGAAGGGATGTTCACATTTTAACATGAACTTTCGATAATGAACCTCAGGTTTAAAGGAATCGAGATTCTAACTTTCTGGATGTGCCACTGAGTTTTAATAACATATGTTTGAAAAGTTTTCTAAAATCAGAGGTCCTTCCTCAGAAATTTAGGACATTGGACATTGAGAAAGATAGAACATTGTTTTGAATTTACAATATATACACATACTTATATATATATATATATATATATATATATATATATATAATATATATATATATATATATATATATATATATATATATATAAGTATGTGTATATATATATATATATATATATATATATATATATATATATATATGTATGTATTTATATTACAATGTTTTATTAGTCGTCTTTTCTTGTCTTTTCTTATATTAGCTAACATTTCGGCGATGAATCCACCAAAAAAAGCTGAAATTCACAGATTCGTTTACAAATAAAAGTAAGAGACTAAAAATACTTAAAACAAGAGACAAATGAGGAAGAAACGCAAATTAAAGTACTTTATTCGTCTCAATTTTCTGTCTCTCTTAAGGGGTTTGTAAATTAATAATGCATTATTTCCACTACCGAATAATGTACCGTAGATTAAATTTTAAAACGGTATAACAGTAAACAAATAAATTTCAATTTAATTACGCTATTCGAAAAATGTTGGTATAAACTGTTTAACTGAAAAACGCGAACTTTAAACACAAAACTCATACGTTAGTCATAAAAAAACCTAATGTCTGTGCATTAGAGCAGACGATAGACGTGAAAACATAAGAGAGTAATAACATGAAATATAAATTATAAATAATAGCTCATTATAATGAGGATGAAATACTGAACATTTCCTTCGCTTACAATACGCAGGTCCGATTTTAAGTTTCTGAGATATTTTAATCCATATCTTCCATAAAACTGTTTATCATTTTGTTTTCGAAGCTAGTTATTTTTTTTTTCGCCTGTCAAACAATATCGCGTATGATACTTTTTTTGAATAATAGCTCATTATAAACAGGTTGAAATGATGAACATTTCCCTCGCAAACAATATGGATGTCTGATTTTTAGTTTTTGAGATATTTTAATCCATATTAAAATGATTTTTTAAAATTCCATATAAACATTTTTATCAGGATTGATTTTGATTTTTTAAATTATCGATTCCTGCATTTAACTAATTATTTTTCTCTGATAAGAAATGTAAACAGGAACGTGAACCATAATTAAAATCAGCTTATGAAACTCAATACGCTGTAACTTTACTAATATTTTAATATAAATTATTACCAAACTAAGAAGGAGCCAGAACATTAATGTTAGCTTATAATTAAAAAATTCCATCATAAGATTAAATTTCGGTCTCTTGGTGAGTTTTTTCTGATTTATATTACAAAATTACACTATTATTTACATTAGAATTGTAATTTGTCGGTTAATGTAATTTTTAATTGTATACCTAAACTAACACCAATAAGGCTCACTAATTCCCATTGCTACATTGTGTATTTCAACCGATCAATATATATATATATATATATATATATATATATATATATATATATCTAAGTAGCAACTATCTGTCAATGACGAAAGTGACAATAAACAAATGTTCTGGCGATAACTGAGAAGCAAATGATAATTCATTCATGAGGAAGGCTAGAATCTAAAAGCACTTCTTCTGGGTCTTGATTAAGTCCCTTCATTCACGAAAAGAGGTCTCTCATCCAGCATCTTTTTAGCCTCCTTTTAACGGGTATGTCAACTGCAATCTACGATCAAGTGAAAATATTTGAATAAAAAATTAATTTTTTATTACATACATTTTTTTATTCTCTTTTTAAAAATTTAATGATCGTTTATCTATATTAATGTAATATTATGAAAGCTTTAATTATTTTAATGATAATATAATCATCATGTAAGTATTCTTGTTCAGAAAGTACTCAAAAGTCTACTTATTTTTTTATTTTAATTAATATCATCGCTTAATGTAGATATCAGGCCAGGAGGAGGTGCCGCTGGGTCCCGCTCTCTCTCATGTCTTACATGCCATTATGTTTTTTTTTTCCCACGATCATCACATTCACTGCTTGTCATTACCATTATGACAGGTGTAAAAAAAAAAAGTTATAAAAATAAATAAATATCATAATAATAATATATAATTATAAACTTTATACATATATACTCTTATATATATAGATATAGATAGATTGTTATATATTTTCTCGAACGTTACATAATATATATTTTACAATTTTAGATAGGTGGAAGAGAAAAATACATAACTGACTCTACTTTTGATATTCTTTCTGCACTGAGTCCTTCAAAATATTTTATATATATTATTCTCTTTTTCTTTCCCTTGAATTAAAAAGTATAATTTATTATATCGTGTTAATATTCTATCCTGTACAGTATCCTGCGCCATACTCCAGAATGTCCTTGGACCCATCGAGGATGGCCCTGATAGAAGAGACATTGAAGCGGACAAGAGCTGAAATCGATGCTACTGGTTAATTCAATTAGACGTGACACAGATTGCACTCGGGTTCAGCAACTGTCGCTCCAGCTAAGCCCCAGGATCACAACAGGATCCTTTTCCTGGCAGGACTGAAATAAATAAAAAGGAAAAAAAAAATAAGCAATCTGAGTAACGGAGTATTTTTGTTTCCTTTATACGATAAAATAATAATAACATTTTAAATATAAGTTTATATATCACTATAAGAAACATTTAATTGGTCTTTTTAAAGTGAAAACTTCTATAGGTGAATTTGCACTTTTTTGTGGAGAGTGAATTAGACGAAGCCGTCAATTTCCGATGTGTAACGCTTGCTTAGAGTCGACTATTTGCGTACTAAGTTTGCGACTAAGTCTTATTGCGTATGGAATAAAATATATGAGAAACTAAAAATCTGACCTGCGTAATGTAAACGAGGGAATCGTTAAGTATTTCTCATCATCTATATATTGGGCTATTATTAAAAATTTGACCTTAACAAGACGCCTTGTCAGAGAGGCGAAAAGAAAAAAGATAATGTCGAAAACCAATATTAGTAACGAGTTTTATTGAAGATATGGATTAAAATATTCCAGGAACTAAAAATCGGACCTGCATTGTGTACATTTTATTTTATTTTTTTGTTTTTACTCTCACCTACCTATATATGTAATATATAGTAGTGGTAAGTTTCGTGATCGTAAAAATTTCCGAATCTGAGTTTTCAACGAAGATACACGTTTTGAGGCCTTCTGAGTCCAAATAACCAAGTCTCCCAAAATGGTCTCTGTGTGTGTATGTATGTGAACAGCCTAGCTTGAAAAATGAAAAGTCGTACCAAAGAAATTGCGTATTTGAGGTTTTTATAAGCCTTGGGTGTTACAGTAACATTTTCGTCAAAATAGACAAACCAGAAATGGTATATAATCGATTTAACACATTTTTACATTTTTATCAAAAACGGCTCAAATTTTTTAATTAAACTCAGTGTGTCAGTGTATTGTTAAGCAGTTTTAATATTTTGTAGGTTTTATTTTCATTGATGTTCTCTAAGAGGACTTATTTTCAATATTAGCTTCCTCTGAAATATCTCTAATTGTGTTTGATATAACTATTAAAAAACCGAGATTTCTTTAGCAAAATAAAATATAATGCTTAGTTCTAATATTATATTTACATGCAACCTTAACCTGAATGTTAATGATGAAACTATCTTATTCTTGAACAAACATAAAGAGGTTTTTTAATTTTAACAACTTTCTACAAACCAGTATAAATCATTGAATTTATATTTGTTTTCTGTATCTAATAATTGTACTGTTTGATCTTTATCGTCATTATCATCAATATATTCATTTAAATACTTACATTTAAAAGCTACATATGTGGGACAGTGCAACAGATAATGGTATAAATCAAGAACCCGATTTTTTAATATGTTTTGATAATTTTATCCAACATAACAACTGATGATGAAACAAACATCGGTACCAAAAACACATTGATGATGATGGTTTCTAGAAACATACCTAGATTACGTTAAAGCACGGGGAGATGTCAGTAACCCTACGAAAAGAATAATTTATAAGAATAGTTTATAAGCTTTGCCGGATAGAAAAAAACCTTAACCATTCCCTGTCTTAAATATCATCTTAATTTAAATTTACAATATTTACTGGTTTCACATTATATTACACTTACTGTTAGTCCGCAAGGACTGTATTTTATTTTATAGATAATGTCGAAATTCTCTAAAATGTTCTCAAAAGTTTATCTTCATCAAAAATATACTGATTTTTTACCATAAACAGACGATATAATGTTATAAATGGAAAAATCCAAAAAACAAGCCCATAAGTCTACAACATAGTAAATAGTTAACTAGCCATTTTTTATCTTTCTTATCTCTTTTATGTTAACGTTTTGCCAATTCTGACATCTTAGACATCTGAGGAAGCCATCCAAATACATACTGAAGGAATGAGAAGGTTCTATTCAGTGTTACCGCGCGCTCTGTGACAAAGCCTCGTACTCAAGCCTCGTACATCCTCGTACGCTTGTTCATTCATAACTTGTACTATTATAATGCCAGCGTTATTGTTTTTTTTATAGTAAAATCAGATCAGAATTTTTTATTTTTACCTCCATTCATATATTTTAAAGCCGTTTTACATTACTTTTTTTTAATTTAATGGGTCAAGTAGTAAAATTAGCTTAATAAAATATATAAAAAAGTTTATATATTTTTATAAAATACTGAAAACGTTATATAAAAATTAAAATAGCTAAATAAACTTCTTAAAGTACTCTTCATAAGTATTCATTAGTAGATCCAAGATTTAATTTGGGGAAAGACTAATTTTTTTTCTTTTTTCTAAAAACAAAACAACTACTTTTATGAAAGGATGTTAGTGGTTCTGGAAGGCCAATAAAAATTAATTATTGGGGCATTGATGCTTTTAGAGATATCCATTATAATATAAAAAAATAATAGATTGTGATTGTTTCAGTATTTAGCTTACAATTAGATCTTGCACAAAATAAATATGGACCACTGAAAAAATACTTTTTTTTTTCATTATTTAAGATGGGTTCATTATGAATACTAATTAATTTTTCAATTAATTACTTTACTCGATTAAAAATCGAAAATATTTTTTTTAAATTACGCTAATAATTTTAAAAAAAATTTAATTTATCTAGAATATATTTACAATTGCAGTTTTATGAAGGAAATAATAATTACGAAGGAAATAATGGATATACTTTCTCGTATTTTATTTTATGCTCGATAAAAATGACGGTAAAAATTTCTGTTTAATTTTCTATTACAACACATTTTAAAAAATATATATTTATAAAAAAGTTTTATGAAGGAAATAATGGATATGGTTTCTTATATTTTATTTTATACTGAATAAAATCTAAAATATTTTTTTTTAATTTTATTTCAAGAAAAAAAAACATATATATACAATCATGATTTTATGAAGGAAATAATAATCATACTCTAATTAAAGAAGATATAATTGCAATTGATATGTCTAGAAAGCAAAAGAAGTTCAGTATTTCATATCAATATAAAAATAATACAGTCAAAATAATCGTAATACAATTCTAAACTTCATTCATAAAAATATAACCTTGCAGTGCATACGTCAGCAAAACTTGTGTACGAGGTACGAGGCTGATCTATCCTTTACCTCGTACATTACGTCATAACCTCGTACAAATACGAGGATCCTCGTACAAACGGCAACACTGGTTCTATTAACAACAGCTAAGGAAGGTTATATTGAACAGCTGATTAGACGTAATACAAGGGGATTATGATAATTTACTTGTATATAAGATACTTATGGCATTGTCTGGATTTTTTATTAATAACATAATCACATTATGTCTCTTTTATAGCTTTGTCTATTTTAGCAAGACGATATAATTTTTTTTATTATTTTTAATAAATATCTCCTCAGTTTTCTTTCTGTAACACAGTTACATTTTTCCTTTGTATTATATTGATCAAGTTGAGTATATATTATTCAATATCATTATTAATGATAATTTTAGACAAGAACGTCTAAATCGTAACGCCTGCCATATCATACATATTCGAATATTAAATCAATACTTTTTATGTGCTATAAATTTCTAAAATGGGAGTGTGCTTTGAATGGAACAGATGATTCATAGCACCATGACTTCACTGCTTCATTGATCACACCTAGAGAATTATTTTGTCACACAAAATAATTATAATTTATTATAAAATGCAATGGAAAGAATAGCAAGAAATATAATTATTCTTTATATGTTATTTTTCAAAGATATTATTTTGTCGATATGGCTTCCTTACAATTATAATACCATGTTTACTAAACAGTATACTATACGAATTATAATCACTTATCAAATATTTTTATTTTATTAATTACTAATAATATTTCAAATACTAGAGCTAACAAGCTAAAATAATAACTGGACTTGTTAAAATTGAATTTAAATTAGAATGTTTTTATTTTTATATTTCGGTTTAGAAATTACCAATTTCACCTTGAGAAATGGGAGCGATCTCAATATATAACGTTTGATCTTTTTGATGGAAAAATACTTTAGAAAATGTAACTTTTTTTTCTTTTTATTCTCCCGTTCTTCGTTTTTTTAAAAGCTTCATTCTGTAAATATGGACCACTTTTTATCCATGTACATCCATATCTTCTCTCTTTCAATGAAAGTCCTTTATGTTGAGGGGTTATTTTTTCCATTCTAAAGGTTGAATATAAATAGATATGATGGATACAAGGAAAGAGTAAATTATAAACCTGACATTATCTTGTAGTTATTATTATAATAAACATCAAAGTACTCATTTGTACGTTAAATAGTAATAATAACTAATTAAATTTTGTTTTTTCCCGTTTTTTTTCATTACCTCTTATTTACTTTTTAATGTGGTGTTTTTGATCTAATATAAATGTTTTCTTTGAAGAGAAAATGGTTTGGGATTGTAATCTGTGGAAGTTCATAGTAAAAATAAATTATATTTCTTTTCTTTCTTTTATTTTTAATATTTATTTTTAAAATTTTTATTTTCTAACTACTAGGTAAGGAAAGTATTGTGAGGTATTATTTTGTCGAATTTCCGATGTGCGGTTTTCAACGAATCTATACGTTCCAGAGCTCCCCCATTCCAAAAACGCAATTTCAGCAATTTGTCTGTCCGAGCCATAATTGTCTCTTGAACGGGTTAACCGATTTTGTTGATATTTTCTTATTTTTTATAGTTTTGGCAACCGATGTCTTTGTTATTCTTATATTATTTCACCCTTTGATATCCTCTTTTTTCAAGTTAGAAAAATAACTTTTTTAGAACTTATTTATTTAAAAAAAGGAACATTTATGAAAGTGTTTAGTGAGCACCTTCACACTCTATATACAATAAATAAAAATAAATTGAACAGCAAAATAATATAACTAAAACTAAATGTATACAAACAA